ACTTTAGATTGTTGATTCTTGGGAATTGAGTTCTTTAGTACTTTTAACTTTTAAGTCTTAGGTGTAGATTTAGCCAGATCTTTTGAATCACTAATCTTGGTTTCTGATTGGATCCAATTTTTTTCCTTATATGAAGCAGGCATATAATAAGATTTTAGCACTATTTGAGTACTACTTGAAGAAGAAGGATCTTTGGGTTTCTTTAAGAGCTAAATCTTGGAGCAATCTCCATTATAACCTGGATCTTCTTATTTTCCATTACTTACTTCATAGATCATGGAAGCTAGTTTAGTTCTTTCAAGACCTGTTATGATAAAGTACTGAAGAGCTATCTCATGCTTATCTACATATTTTTCATAAGCTTTGTCTAAGAGAGCTTTATGATCCATATCAAGAGATTCAAATTTGTCTTGAGACATTTTTAATTCCTCTTTCCAAAGATTATTATCTCTCTTTAAGATTTTCATGTGTCTTGATTTGTCTTTGCAACATGAGGTCTTGAATGAAGGAAAAAAGATCAGAACAAGATAATTTAGAAAATACTCATTTTCTTCATATGATTCTGAACCAGAGTAGGATTCAAATTCTGCATCAGATGATGTGAAAGCCTTCAATGCCAAATTTTCTTCTCCTTCATATTTGTCAGAACTTCTTTCATTATCAAGTTCATTCCATGTTACCATAAGACTCTTCTTGAATATGTTTCTGAAACTGCCCTTTTGGAAGCTTCCTTTATTTGACTTGTCCTTCTGTAGATCAGGACAGTCAAATCTGAAGTAACCAGATTTGTTGCAGTTGTAACAGATCCTTTGGTCATCTTCATTGTCTCTGAAACTAGAGCCTCTGAAGCCACTACTTCTACTAGAGAATCTTTTGTTCCTTCTGGAGGTTTTTTGAAACCTTTTGATTATAAAGGTCATTTCTTCATCATCAGAAGTTCCTTCATCATAAGCTTCTTCTAATTTACTGATTTTTGAATATTTGTGAGTTTTACTACCAGACTTCTCAGCGATAGATTTTAAAGCCAGTGATTTGAACATCTTCACATGCTCATCTCTGTTCAATTCCATTTCATGGCTCTGAATATTGATTATCATACTTTTAATACTTAAAGTATTCAAATCTTTGATTTCCTGAATAATTGTTACTTTAGATCTGAATCTTACTGGAAGACTCCTTAGAATCTTCTTGACATGATCTGTTGAGGTATAACTTTTGTTCAAAACATGAATGTCTGATAGAAGAACTTGAAACCTAGAGAACATGGTTTCAACGTTTCATCTTCCTTCATTTTGAAGAGTTCATACTGGTGAACCAGAAGATTGACCTTAACCTCTTTTACTTGTTGGTTAACTACATAGGTAGCACACGATGAATCAAAGATAGTCTTTGCAGTTGACTTATCTGTGATTTTTATGTACTCAGAGTGAGGTAGAGAATCAACAATAATACCTCTTACTTTGTGGTGTTTCATGTACACTTAATAAAAAACTGAGCAACTAACTTTGAATTTTGATTTTCCTTTTTTGGGTTCTAGTTTTAATGATTAAGAAATGAATATATGTAAATATAAAAGTGCACACGGGCAAAGAATTTGATTACCTTGATTGGTCATGGTAGAATTTGCATTTTTCAATTGCATGGGTTCGATTTCATTTGACAATATTTATAAAATCATCCATCATTTCTTCTTTCAGATATTCTACTGTCTGAAGTTTCTTGATCATCTTCATTGTTCGAAACATATTATTCTCTTTGGTGAAGCTTCTTCATTAGAAAATGATGATTCTTTGGAAGATCATTCATCTAACGAAATTATTCTTTCAAATGAAACCATAAAGTTGATTTCACTATTTCTTCAACAAAAAATCTCTTTGATGAACTTGAGGATGATTCTTTTAAGATTCTTTAAGTCATCCCTTCACCTTTCAACATTTGAATTAATTTGTTGAGCTTTTCAAAGACTTTCTTTCTTAAATTTTTTCTGAAAATGACAATCACTTCCATCTTTTGATTTTATGATTAGATCAGGTTTCTGATTTCAATTCTTAACTCTTAGATATTTGTCAAAATTTTAACATATCTTAAAATATTTAATGATTTAATGAGATTTTTTTTTAAAATATTAGAAGTTATTTTCAATTATTTTTTATAAATTAAAAGAGTATTTTTGAAATTTAATTATTTAAATATTTATTATTAAAGATTTTAATATAATCAAAATCACATAATTTTTTAAACCGATAGATCTAAAAATTAAAATTTTTAAAAATTTATTTAAAATAACATTAAATTTAAGTGATATTTTAAAATCTAACAAAAATTCCAACAGAATAATAAAATATTTAAATTAATATTAAAAAATTAAAATAAACTACACTTTATTTATTATAAGATCATAAATTTCTAAATCATAAATTTACAAAATTTATAAAAAATTTAAATTACTATATATAGATTAATTTATAATTTTAAAATAGGCTAATTTTATTATAGAATAAAAACAATTGAATTGATAAAACATTTTTATGGAAATTGAAAAGTTTTTATAAATCTCGATCACATCCACTCAACCATTCGCTCACTTTATAATATATTGTATTTAATATATTTCTCTTTAATTTACAAAACTTAAATTTTGAGGTCTCATTTTTTGAGGTCCAGGACTGTGAGTCTTGCCTTAGTCTAAGGGCAACCCTAATTACAATTGAAAAGTTTTTTTTAGTAATAAAAATTATTAAAATTAAATTGAGAAACAAGATAAATGATGAGGTTTTAAGAGATAATACGACAATAAATATTGAAAGACAAAATAGTGTGAACATTAATTTTAAATTTATTATTGACGATTTTAAATTAAATATTACTTTAAAATACTTTTAAATTTTAATTTATGTAATTTAACTTTTTGATAATCAACTTTATATTTATGTTAATTTAAATATTTTATATAAAATATTATTTATATTTTATTTATAATCTTTATTTTACATTAACGGCCATCTCTTTTTTTTTTTTTGCTTCGCCACTAATAATTTATATTTTTTTAATAACATTATAAAGCAATGACTTTTTTAAAAGGAGTCATCATTGGATATATCAAAAATTGCTATAACTAACTCAATAAGATAAATTTATAATAAAAATATTGAAAATTTTAAATTTATTTAAATAAAATAAATTAATCTTTAATAAACTTGTAAGATGAAAATATAAGAATAAGAGTTATATTTATATTAAACTTTATAAACAATAGATTGTACCACCTAAATTTATATATAGATGTTAAGAATTTTTTTTAACAATTAATTTTATTGAAGTAATAAAGTAATCATGTTTTCCAAATCATTTATTTATAATTTTTTAAATTATTAAATATTAAAAAAAATTGGTAATAAAATATTAAAAACTTTTACAATTCATAAACAATTATCAAACAATAAATACAGAAATTATAAGACCAATTCAACTTTGACTAAGAACGTCGAACAATTGACAAACTAAACTAATAAATTAGTAACACTCATCAATCTTTCAATTTAATATGCTTAACCTAAAAACACCATCCCAAAAATATTGTGAGAAAAACATTTCAGCATCATAGAATTTAAAAGTCTTTAGATGTTTCCAGAGTCATGCCGGTGAGATAGACATAGAAAAATCGCATCTTTCAACAACATGCAATTGTTTAGGTTTAAATCTACATCGTCATGACCACAACTTCATATACATACATACGTAAACGTGAATTACTTATTATATGTTTGAATTGCCGGTAACTAAAATTGATTTTAGTAGAATTTAGTTTGATAGAATTGATTTTAATAAAATTGAATTTAGTAAAATTAATTTATGTTTAAATATATTTATGTAAAAATGAATTGAACAATAAGTTTCAGTGTAAAAATCATTTAAAATTAATTATGAAAATAGAAATTATAAATTCTAATTTTAAATAAAATTAATTCTGAAGAATGAATCAATTTTACTTTTAACAAACTAAACACTTCAAATCATCCAGAATCAATTTTACATCTTTAGAATTGATTTTGAATCTTGTAGAAATGGAGCCAAACATACATAAACCATCAATCATTATTTGTTAACTAAATATTCTAGTATTTAGTAAGAATGAAGATAAATTAATTCCTAAAAACGGTGTCCTATTTACTTCTATTATTTTAGATTTAAATATTATTTAATTGTTATATTTTAATAATTATTACGTAAGTATATAAATTTAAATATGAATAGATGTAGAATGTATGATGAGTGTTGGTTGAGAAAGATTCATAAATGTTAGATATTAGTCTCTACGTTTTTACATTTCAGAATTATTATTGTAATTACATATAAAGTTTTCTCATTAGGCACAATGTTTAAGGACTATTATTGTTGTATGTTATATTGAAGAAGTTATCAATTTTTAAATTTTTTGAAGAGGAGAGGCTTCATCAAGAAGATCATCGTATCAAAATTTCATTTGTATAAAATTTTTAATACATCATATGAAGAAGTTGTAACAACTTATGAAGATTCACTTAGAGACCTCTAGAGATTCATGCAAATATTTGTGTAAAGACTCATGCGAAAGTTTATTCAAAATTTCATCCAAAAGTTCATCAAAGGATTCACATAAAGTATCTTCTACAAGATCAACAAAGAAATCAGACAAAGAGAATCACATTGGATTTAAATGAAAATAAAAACGTGAGTTGTATTTTGCTAAAAAATGAAGTTAGTAAGATGAAATTTTTGATCTACCCTACACATGCTTGTTATATAAGCTAGACGATATAAAGGTAGGTGACGAATTTAATTTTGTTCTTGATGGTCTATCCTTTCTGTCAATTACAAATAATGGCATTCATTCTCTCTTCTACAGGCTATATACCCACCCAAATATTTGGCTCATTCACTATGCAGCAACATATATCCTCATTCCAAGGAAACATAATCTTAGAAAAGTATTCAAAATAGATGTGGTTTTAACCTGGCTTCTAGCAAATAAAGTTGAAGTCAATTGGGCAAGCAAGGTCATCTATCACATGATGGAAAGTCGAAGAAAGGGGATTTTGCGGTTGCCATATTATGATATAGTAACGAAAATCTTGGAGGACATTGGATTGAAACTTGATGAGGAGGAATTCATTGTAAGCTCTACTACAATATGGAGGCATGCTTTGGGGTAGATGAGGATGACCATCAATGGTAGAGTGGTAGTGCAGAAACCTCCTAAAGAAAGACAAACTACCAAAAGTTAACAACTTCAACAAGAATCACTTGAGTAAGGATATCCTTCTAATATGGAGGAATTTGATCACGAGCTCTATCAAACTACTTCTACTAAAACTCTTCTCCTCACCATCGTGAAAAAGCATAAGCATACAAATAAAAAGATTATTTACCTTACGTAGAAGCTCGAGGAGACCGTAATGCCTCTATCATTTGATATCTGAGGATATTTTGTTGTCCTTGCTTGCTTGCTTTTGTTTGTTGCTTGTTTTTTTTTATTTTTATTATGGTACCTTTTCTTCTGTAGTCGTTTCCATTTTATATGAATAAATGTTCTTTGATTATTAAATCTATCATTTATAATTTTTATTATTTTTGATCTACGTGCTTCCATATTTTTCTACTATTTATCTTTTTGTTTATTTTTCCACTATTTTGATAATGACAAAGGGGAAAGTATACTATAAGGGAAATTAAGGCACACTCTGTTAGACAATGTGACAGATCTAGAAGGGGTGGGAGGGGGTTGAATAGATCCCTTAGAAAATTTTGCATTTTTTGTAAAATTGTTTTTATCAGAGAGCGACAGCCCTGAATCTGATCGTCTAAACTTTACGTATTGGAAAGATCGGATATGCGAACCAATTTGATGAAAATGATGAGAATAGAATCACAACTAAAATTGAATATGATGAATCTCTTTAGCAAGTTTAACAAGGTGTAAGTTATTACCAATTAGTTACGGAGAAGATAAAGCAAATTTGTGAGTTGTAAATTCACCAAACACTTGGTGTACGTACTACACAAGGTTTGGTTATACTCAAATTGTAGTGATTTTAGCGATTCAAATTAATGCTATATGAGTTGTAAATTTTAGTTTGTCACTACAATTATTTTGTATGAATGATAAAAATCGATAACTCACAAATTCAAGCAAATAGAAATAAAATGAAGAAAACTAAAATGGACACAGTATTTGTTAAGGAAGTTCACCCTGTCGTCCTCGCGTGGGCTACTCTGCCCCCAATTCTAAAACCTAGAATTAGGATTATGAAATTAATTTTGCAAAGTTTGTAAGAGAAGATACAATCACCACAATTCAAAGTCACTTGATGAATCTTATATGTTGCACTCCTCTTCCCTTGATTCTTGATGAATCAAGTATGCCAAATCTTGAACAAAATCTCCTTCTACCTTGAATGACTTTGAACCCTAGAAATTGGCCCCAAATTCTTCTTCACAATCCTTCGGTTACCGCTACCCGATTGAACACCCCACGGTATTCCAATCCCTTAGATCGGCTGAATTCAATGAAGCAAAGACTTGTGATAAAAAACCCCAATTTTAGAGGACAAAACCCCAATGGTTTTATTCAAGAAAAAATCCACAAAGATCTCTATCCAAATCTAAAATTGCACTTTCAATTGGGACGTTATCAATACAATCCCAAAATCTTGATCAACAAAAATGATTGTGTGTAGTTGTTGATGGTTGATGAGAGGTTGAATATGAAGAGAGCTCTTGTGTCTATCTTTCACTTTTTCTTGTTGTGTTTGAAAATAGAGGTCAAACAACATATATATATATATATATATATATATATATATATATATATATATATATATATATATATATATATATATATATATATATATATATATATATATATATATATATATATATATATATATATATATATATATATATATATATATATATATATATATATATATATATATATATATATATATATATATATATATATAAGTGATTCCCATGTTGTAACAACATAACAGAAAAAATGAGACAATTTAGCGATGTGTCGGCTCATGCTGGGTGTACAGAAGGTGTGCGCCTTCCCGAGCGAGAGAGGTTGAAGTTCCTTCAGTCATGCACCGACTCATTGCCTGATGCGCCAACTCATGTTTTCCCAGAACTATGCGTCGATGCATAGAGAAGGCGTGCGCCTTCCCAGACGTTGCCAAGCCAAAATCTTCTTCTCATGAGCCGACCTAAGGTTCCATGAGCCGGCTCATGCAGTATGTTTTGAGAAAAATACTTTTTTATTTATGTTTCTCACTTGGACCTGTTTGAAGCATGACATATTTGCACAGATAGGTTTTTGACAAGCATTAAAACTCAGTTCTTTCACATTTGTCCTCACATACTCCCCCTTTTTGATGATGGCAAAAACCGCAAATCGCAAATATGAATCATCTCAATGGTTGCGAATCATCCAATCATCCTCCCCCTGAGATATTGCATATTTCTGATGTGTATTCCTTCTCCCCCTTTGACAACATCAAAAAGAAACAAGGACATGGATTAAGAGAACCAAAAAAATAGAATGACCAATATTTTGCAACTTTGCAAAAAGAACACAAACTAACATACACACAATATGAAGCAAGTGCAAACGAAAATAGATGCATTAACTAATAAAGTAATACAATACGATGTTCATTGTTACAAACCCAAAATAAAACACAAAGTAGTACGGGAAGTAAAACAGTTTAATACAAAACCATAGTAATACAAGCATAAGAAGCAAGAAATAAAGTGCCAAGCATTAACTAATGTCGTTGTTCCTCATTGTCTTGTGGTGGTTCAACAGGTTGGTTTGATGGAAAGCGAGCCATGAAAGCCGACTGAAAGTTTTCCAAGTTTGTGTTTTGTGTTTCCATCATTCCATGAAGAGTGTTATATCGGCGGTCTTGGAGGCTAGCATAATCCTTAAACTGAATGTTTTGAAGGTTGACTATTTCGGCAAGATTGTTAATTTGTTCATTTACTAATACCATGTCTTCATGATGGTGGATGTGCATTTCCTCAAGTTTGCGCATCACCTCGTCATGGGATCTATGAGGCTCATGGTCATCATTGCCTTCTTCATCTTCTTCATCCTCTTCCGCACTCTCTTGATTCTCAGTACCAACTTCACCGCCCTTAGCATCTTAAATTTCATCATCCTGTTCAACATCTTCATTTCGAAGCATTACTGAGTTTGATTTCACAAAGTACTTGTACTTACCAAGCTGGGGATTCCATTTATGACCCATAAGTGTGAGAGTTTTGGAGGTAAAATCTGAATCCAGCGGGATAGGTGTAGGTGAAATACCAGTAAGATCAAGGTTTGCTTGACTTAGAATTCCATGAATGAACGATGGATACCCCAAAGCAGATCCTCTAGGGGAATCCCTCGATGCAAATAGCCAGCTACTGATGTAATACAGCCAATGAATCTTAATTTTGTTTAGAATAGCCCAAATTAACATAACCTCAGGTTGATCAATACGGGACAACCCACCCTTTTTGGGGCGATTATCCTTGACACAATCCATTTCATAATTCGAGCTAGAGGAACCAATTGACCTGTTGTGACAGTTTTTGGAAAAGCACTACTTTGCACAAAACTCTCAGGATATGGTCGTTTTAACATGGAGTTCAAGGCTTGTTTGAAGTCATAGTCTGCAAGAAGCTTAATGTCGGTGATTTTAACAGCATCAATGTCAACAGGGAACAACTCAAAAGCTTTCCAAATTTGATCATCTACCTTGACAACCTTATTTGCAATTCTGTGTGAAAATTGGTGATCAAAGAATTTACCTTGTATACCCGCATAGAATACCTTGAAGAGTAACTCGTTGTAGTCTCCATCCAACTCAAGGAATAGAAACACCTTTTGATGGTCCAACAATTCCACCACATCTGAGATATGCAGGCGTTTGAGAGTGACACAGAAGGCACATAATTGCCTAACCAGCCTCCTTCTAGCGAACTTCTCATCATACTTTTCAGTGAGATCAGGAGGAAGAAGTGATAGAGGAGTAACCCGAGTTTGATTTGAAGAGCTACCTCTGATACTTCTTTTCTTTGTTGCCCTAGAAGCCATGGATGAATGTTTGGAGAGATTTGGAGTTGAAATGACACAGTGGGTTTTTAGGGTTTTGAGATGGAGAGGGAGGCCGAATGAATGCTAGCAAGAGGGAACAAAAACATAGAAAATGGATGCATGTAAATGGAACCACACAATACAAACTAATATATAATGGGGTTCCAAATAGCGACGCGTCGACCTATGCAGGGATGCATCGATGCATTCCAGTAAAATAAGCCTAAATACGTTTTTCAATCAGGTGTGCACCGACCGCTCAGAGTTTTAAGTCGGCTCATGTATGTAAAATTTTGAAATTTCTTGTATTTCATGGCATGTAGGTTTTGTGGAAATTAATTAAACACAATAAACAAGTACGCATGCACATAAGCAATAACACACAAAGCATTTAATCATTTCATAGCACCAACATTTAAGCAAAATGGTCACTAATGAGAAATAGTAGGAAGGATATTACCGAACATATTTGAATGACATGATGCCCTCACATGTCGCCAGCCCAAGATGATATTCAAGAATCATAGAGACACAAAGATAAATAAAGGGAATGCAACTCATTAGAGTTGCGATCTATCCGAAATATCAAGGACACCTAGTTCCCTACGAATATGAAAGAATGGTTTGGTCGCAAGTGGTTTTATAAAAATATCGGCAAGTTGATTTTTGTTATCAACGTGCTCAAACACGACTTCACCTTTCTCTACATGATCCCTAAGGAAGTGGTGCCTAATTTCAATATGTTTAGTGCGCGAGTGTAGAATTGGATTTTTGGTTAGATTGATGGCACTTGTGTTATCACAAAATATTGGAATATGATTAAGTTTTAAATCATAGTCGAGTAATTGTTGTTTGAGCCACAAAATTTGAGCACAACAATTACCGACTGCAACATATTCCGCCTCGGCCGTTGATAAAGCAACTGAAACTTGCTTTTTGCTATGCCAACTAACTAAGAAGTTTGAAAAGAAATGACAAGTGCCACTTGTGCTTTTCCTATCCAATTTGCAACCCACAAAGTCGGAATCAGAATAGCCAACCAAAGAACAATCACTACCCTTGGAGAACCAAAGTCCATACTTAGGAGTACCACAAAGATACCTAAGTATATGTTTTACAGCTTTTAGATGACTCTCCTTAGGATAAGATTGATATCTAGCACACATGCAAACACTAAACATAATGTCGAGACGAGAAGCGGTAAGATAAAGAAGAGGTCCGATCATACCTCTATACCTTTTCACATCAATCGGCTTACCATGTTCATCCCGATCTAGGCTAACCGCAGTAGGCATTAGAGTGCCAATAACTTTTGAGTTTGCCATATCAAAGCACTTGAGAAAGTCATAGCAATACTTTGTTTGGCTAACAAAAGTTCCTTCCTCGAGTTGTTTGATTTGAAGACCAAGGAAGTAGTTTAACTCC